GATCCATGTGGACCCGGACCGACCCATGTGGACCCGGACCGATCCATGTGGACCCGGACCGATCCATGTGGACCCGGACCGATCCATGTGGACCCGGACCGTCTTACTGCAGGGTTTGGATGGCAGCTGGTTTTTGGAGGGCCGCAGAAAATCTCTGCTTGTGGTGCCAAAAGTTTTCAGATCCGTCGGCTTGAAATGAAGCCGATTATGAGTGAAACTGGGATGTTGTTGCGTTTGGATTTCTAGAATCCAGCAGCTCTTAACGATTTCCCTCCTTTACTTTGGTGATTGATTTGCTTCACTGAGATTTTTTGCGCTAGGTTGAGGTGACTTTTTTCAGTCGTATCAAAATTTATTCATCTTGTAAAACTTTGATGCAAACACTTGATCAACAACAAGATTTTACTACTGGCAGAAACGATGAAGAAACCGACAGGAAGTGATAGAAAGATGATGGCACTTGTTTTGTAATGATTTATCTCACATGATTTTATTTGAGTTTCTTATTTAACGGAAACATCACAATTATGAAAATGCGTTTGTTTTACATCAACAAAGTTTAGCTCTTGTTTTATTGGACAAGTTTGTCATTTTTAGTTTCAGGTAAAGAAACTAGAACCTGTATAAGTTTAATATTGTAGCTTTTTGCGCTGTGATTAATGAACTTGTGTCGTTTTCCTGGCTGCAGGTGTGAAGTTTGGTTTCATCTCCTCGTTCTCACTGAACTGTGATTCATTAAAAATGAACTCATGTCACTAATACATATCAGCTCTTAGGAACATTCTGATTTGTGATCAAATTTACTCAAAGGATTCACTGAAAATAATTTTTAAATGTCGGTTTAAAGAGGGAGGAACATACAAACATTTAGTTTAAAATGATTTAATTTCATAACTTTATAATTCCCTTTTTCTGTTTTGGCTGTGATGTAAATGTTTTCAGTCAGTTGGCGGCTGAGGCCCAGCAGGTGGTTCACCAAATCCAGCATAACCCCCGACAATCCCCGTCCAGCCAATCAGCACGCAGCCCGGCCCGGTGCCGACAGAACCCTCTGTGTGTGTGTGTGTGTGTGTGTGTGTGTGTGTGTGTGTGTGTGTGTGTGTGTGAGAGTGAAACATTGTTATTGAAAGTTTAAAGTTAGAAGCTCTGAGATTATATCTGTTTGCTTCTCACCAGAAACTCAGTTTAAATGTTTTGTTTTTATGATTCTAGAATATAATATATAATTTATTCTGGAAATACAGCAAAGAAAAGCAGGTTGGCCAAAAAAGTGAAGCTAAACTACAAAATGTTTATGAAGTATGTCAGAGTAACATGATTGACCAGTGCACTGCAAAAACTCAAAATCTTACCAAGTATTTTTATCTCGCTTCCAGAGAAAATATCTTTAAATAAAACTAAACTAACTTAAAAAAAACTGTTGAAATTTCTCTAAAAATTCACTTTAAATAAGTTTCTCCTAGAAAATATAAAAGAATACCATCAGCTCTCGATATCTGATTCTTTTATTTGTCTTTTGGTGATTATTGAAACAAGAAATTCAGAAAACGTTTTACAAAGTTGTGTGAAATGAAAATGCAGCGGCGTGAGGGAACCATCATCATCTCTGAGTGGCTTCGAGTGCCGCGTCCATCCCCGCCGTTTTCCAGAGAGCTTAGGAGCGAGAACACGCGCGCGCGCGCGCGTGTGTGTGTGTGTGTGTCTGCAGCTTCTGCTGTGTGTGTCTCAGGATGTCTGAGTGCAGAGATGTGTTTGCAGAGACACATCAAGCCCCTGTATGCCCTGGAAAGTACAAACACATACAAGGGCATGAAGACGGATGAGTGGCTTTGATTCTCCATTCAGCCAGAGGATGAGGGTTGAACCTGCAGCTGCTCCGCTGAAGTGTCCTTGAGCAAGATGCTGTATTTTTATCTCCCAAGACGACAGGAAGTGTTGAATAACATGATTAAAGTAAAGCCGCTTTCATTTGGACCCTGAAGATATCGAACCTTCTCAAAATGCTGCACTTTGGTTCGTTTCCATTGAAGTCTGAGAGAATTTCTGGTCACACGTTTGGTTTCATTTATTCATCACAACATGGATTTGAACCAATCAGTCACACTGTGCAGAGAAAAAAGACAGAAATAAAAAGATCAAGCTAAGTAGAAAGCACAATCAAAATTTGGTGATAAAATGAGACTTAAAGTTTAGATATAATCAATCAATTAATCAAAAAGATTAGATTATCAAGCACAAACGAGAGGCAACTTTAATTCTTCTATTTCTAATTTTATGAAACAAAGACATTTATTGTATTTTTGTTGTGAAGCAGATGCCTGTTAAGTTAAATAAAGGAAGAAAAATAAATAAATTTAGATATGTTGCAAATAAGCGACATTAGGCATATTTAGAAAATTATGTTTTAACCAATTATCCTCAGGTATTTTAACTTTTATATCAATGTTGCTAACAACATTGAGCTAGACAGAAAAAACAATCAAAACATTAGTAATAAAATTAGCCTTAAAATTCAGATATAAATCAATCAATTCAAGAATCAATCAAAAGGTTTGGAAAATGTGTTGTAATTTAGCACAAACTGCAGGTTCAATTGTTCAAAAGAAACAAAATGGTTGTCAACAAACTACCAGGTAAAATTCCCACATGTTTACATTTCTAATAATGGATGAAAATCTGATCATTACAAGAAATTTATCACGATAAATTATAAAAATCCCCACTTTGAGGTCAAATTTTTAACCTTCAGAATGTTTTTCATTGGAGGAAAAATGGCCGTGTTTCCTGTCGGCTGAGAGGAAGTGAGTGGGACCGACCCGCCTCTCGCATGCAACCCAAAGAGCCAGTAAAGTGCAGCAGAAAAGCTCTGGGTTAATATTTAACCAGGTTATGTAAAGACAGGCAGATTATGAGCAAACACACGTTCGACATAAACTCCCTGAACTCGTTTCCCTGTGAGGCAAATTACAATGGAAAAGTTTAAAAATAATAATATTTTCCCTCCGAGTGATGGATCCGACTTTTCTCATTAAAAAGGTGAATATTTCTTTAGTTTTCTGAAAAAGTTTTTCTGTCAGATTTAATGACTTTTTTCCTCGTTTCCACTTCCAGTTATCACACCTTCATTTTTGTTGCCTATTTTTTAACAGAATAAAAGAAACTTTGAAATAAGAGTTAAGATTTACTCAACTTTTTATAATCAGTATAAAGTTCTGAAATACTACAAGATTTGAAGTCAGTTAAAATCAAAAATTCATCCACAGGTTGTAGAAAAAGTTTCTAATTTTTGTTGAAATTTAACTCCAAACTTCAGAGTTTTTACATAGAAATGATCAATTAAACTGGAAAAATCCTTTAAATTATGAACAAAAGTTTTAGTTTTGACTTTGACAGTCAGGATGTCCAAATTTTATATAAAACTGTGCAAATAAAATGTAAATATTTCACAAATACATTGTTTTTTTGTCTCTTTCAATTATTAACATAATGAAAATAAAATTTTTCCTTCAGTTTTAAATTCATGGAAAGGAGAACCAATCTGTCTGAAATAGATCTACAATCTCAGATTCATAAAACTTCTCATCTTTGTTGTTTTTTTGGTGTGAAACTGATTATTTAGGAAAATCAAACTTGAATTAAATTAGTATAATTCTTTGATCGTTGAATGTTCATTTGCGATGACAAAAGCAGGAATCTTTATTTTTACAAGAACATTTCTAATATCTCGTTTTATTGTTTTTAACCTTTGTGGTTTACTTTGTCTCATTAAATAAGTAAAGTAATGAAAAATTTCTCCATATGCATAAAAACTTTCAACAATAATTTGCTGTGAGCAAAACTCTTAATTTTAAATAATTTATGTTTTTCTTGTGCTTCATCAAAATGATGTGCTAAATTTGTCTGGGCTGATGCGGCGCCTCGTTCCTGAACTTTAAAGTTTCAGCAAAAACCCAAATTCGGACAGAACCGAACCGCCGGCAGCTGAGCGCATCTGCATTCAGGGACGTCAGTTAAAAAAAGAGAGCTGGTTTTCTTTTTGGCCTAGTTGGCATTACTCGTACCATGTGCCACTGTGTGTGTGTGTGTGTGTGTGTGTTGCTGTTTTGTATAGAAAGTGCTGTGTGCAGGGGAACGGGGATTTGGTGCCATCAGCACGGTGATGTCAGCACACAGGAACAAACAAAGCCCGACTCCAAACCCGCTCCCAGCTCTCCCTGCTACCCACAATCCAGCTGGACATGATGGGGCCCGGCTCTGGGGGCCTCTGCTGTTAGCACTCGCACACAGACACACACACACGCACGCACGCACGCACGCACCCACACACCCACGCACGCACGCACACAAAGACACACACACACACACACACACTCACGCACGCACGCACACACACACGTTAGCGCAGGTTTTTCTGTTATCATGCACATTCTGTTGACTTGAGTTTAATTTGCTGAAAGTTTGAAACTTTTGTATGAAGAAGAAACTATGAACCTTCAGAGCCACATAAAGACGAATACAAAGTCGGCCTTTTATCACCTGAGGAACATTTGCAGGATTAGAGGACTGATCATAGTGAGATCTAGAGAAGGGTTGTCCAAAGTGTGGCCTGGGGGCCATTTGTGGGCCTTGCAGTGAAAAGAATGGGCCCTGGGTCGGTTCTTTTGTCACTTTACAGCAGGAAATTGTTCATGAAAGGTTTAATTCTTCTTTAATGGAAAGTATGAGGCATAAAGTATTTTTTAACAGTTGTGTTTGTTTTCTTTTTAATTTTATAGTTTGTAGGGCGAAAACATTTCACTTAAAGACGAGACCACATTAATTCTTCTATCAAACTTTTCTTTGGAAAAAGTTCTTGTTTCTGTTTGGAATAGGCTGGAAAACTTTCTGGACTGAATAAACTGGAAAAAAGTCTTAAAAAATGAATTAAGATGATAATTTTCTTCTTTATTTCTTAATTTGTTGCAGAAAAGATGATAAAAAAGTCACAAATATGGCCGCTGAGTATTTTCAACTTTGGGATTCTGATAAATGATGCAAAACATTCGGACACCTCTGATCCAGAGAAACTCGTCCCTGCATTTGTTTGGTTGGGTTCGTTAGAGCAGCAGCGTCTCCCCGGCGTTCTGGATCAATCAGCTGATCAGGAACGCTGCTGCTGGAGTTCTGACTGAAACCAGGAAGTCAGCGCGTCACCCAGTCCTACAGTCAGAGAACAACATTTAAAATAGTTTATAAACCACTGAGCAAAACATCTGAGAAATAGTCGAATCACTGATAAATAATAAATGAGCCTAAAAGGGGAAAAAACAAATTCAAGCAAAACAATTTCAAATTTGATTATTTTCTAAATTAAACATAGAAAATACGTCAATGCTTTCATATACATAAATGTGTCTCAAATCGGTTACATCCACAATCATAAATCAACAAATCAGACAAAAACACTAATAAAAATAAACTTCAGTTAAAATCTGTCGTCTCATAAAGTTAACACAAATCAGAAACTCACTTCACTGGCAGTGAACAACTTTACACCTTTAGGAATATTTTTTTTACTTATGATTATCATAAAGTATCATGAAGTATTATGAAGTATCATGAAGTATCATGAAGTATCATAAAGTATCATAAAGTATCATGAAGTATCATGAAGTATCATGAAGTATCATAAAGTATCATAAAGTATCATGAAGTATCATGAAGTATCACTACTTCAGTAACATTTCTGGATTCTCTACTCACTGCGATTCACTTCACTGAATCAAAGCAAATCATATCAACAAAAAAATGCACCAGACCATTTGTGTCAAAGTGAGACCTCTTGTTTGTACAGGATCTTGTTGCTCTGATGTCACTGGAGTCTGTTGATCCATTTGAAAGTCAAATGGATCAACAGAAAACAGTTTTCTGTTATGAGAAACGCCTCGGTTTGTCTCAGGCATTCAGAACTTCACTGTCTGAATGCAAACAGTTCATATTTAATGATGTCATGAAGGATAAACCAGCTGGAAAACAGAGAGCGGGAGGAAAAACAGGAAAATGCCTCAGATCTGACTTGTTACTGCAGGTAAAATCACTCATTTTGAAGTTCAGTTCTGTAACAGGTTTCATTTGTTTGCTTTGTGCGTCTGAATCGTTTTAAAACCGTTCAATCGAAACAGTTCATGCAGCTTCACCTGCAGTCACATTTTTATGCCCATTTTAGCGTTAATAGATTAAATATTTACATTTCTGGAGCAAAAATTACTGATTTAAACTTTTAAAGTCTCACAAAAAAGCACTTAGTAAAAACTGAATTATTGAGAAACTGATCAAATTATTAATCATTATATTAAATGACATCATCAGACGCAAAATATGCAGTTGAGATAAAATGTGATTATTTTTCAGATCTGATAGTTTTCAGTTATTTTACTTTATTAATTTTGATCAATTCTCTGATTGCAGATGGAAATCCAGGCCTGTAGATGAATCCTAACTCATAAAGATCAATACAGGGACTTCCTTAACCTGCATGTTCGCTTGTGTTTCCCATATTTAAATGTGGCTAATGAAATAGATCACATTATATTTATTCATAAAGTTCACAGGAAGTTATGAATTAGTAATTCAGTAAAAAAGTAAAGTATAAGTTTCTTTTTTTACCCCAATTAATACATTTACTCAATGAGGGTTAAATATATATATATATATATATATATATATATATATATTTTATATATATATATCTATATATATATATATATATATATAGATATATATATATATATATATATGTATGTGTGTGTATGTATGTATATATATATACATCTTTACTTTTAATCAGATTTTGTAATTTAACATTAAATGAACTTCACTGCATTTATCAAATATTTGCTGTTAAACTATAAACACATGAAGATCAGCATTTCTGCTTGTCTCTGCTTTAAACATCTTTATGTTGCTGCATGTTTGTTTCTTTTTTATTTTATTTTGGGGCAGCCCAAAGGGGGTGACTGTGCAGCAAACTGTTCAGAGGATTTAAAGGTGGAAGAGGCTCAGTTTGTGTGTCTGCAAGGAGGATTTTCAGACTATTTCTCGTGATTTAGCTGCACGTTTACATAAATTCACGCCTCAACTTTCTGCAAAGAAACTTTGCTGCAGTTCATGCAGGGGGAGTCAGCAAGTTACTCGCCCTGAACTGTATTTGTTGCCTGGTAACACAACCTTGGATCAGGAAACACTGGGAGCCATTGTGAGCGAACAAGGATTCACAACGATCTCTGACCTTTTAGTCTCAGCAGCTTTTCACCAAGGCCGAGTGTTTTATAAATCCGTCTCCTATCTGTGAATTCACCCACAGCTTCGCTGATAAATGCCGCAGAAACGCGCTTTGTGTGCTGATCACGCCTCAGAAATGAATGTGCAGGTGGGAATCAGGGCTTCCTGTTTGTCTCGATGGAGCCGCAGATCATTCAGTTTCAGCAAAATCCTCCACATGGATGAAACAACCCCAATGTTCCACCAACTCTGCTTTTTTGGACAAACTTAAGTCAGACACTTCCAGGTTGCAGCCATTTTTTTTGTATGTTTCCACTAAATTTGCTCATATTTACCACAGATTTAATATTAGCAAATTAAATCATATTTACTGCTTTTTTCCCAAGATGGCCACCATGGTTAATAATACTGTTTTGCACTAAAATTGCCAATTCATTTAATAATTTTGAATCACAGGATTCATATTTAGTTTCATGATCTTTTCTTTTTCCCTGCAAAAACTCCAAGTATTACCAAGTATTTTTGATTTAGTTTCTAGAGCAAATAACTTACTTCACTTAAAATGAAACAAAACTAACTTTTCAGTGAGACAGAAGCTTTTTTGATTTGAGTTTCACTGGCAGATTTTTACTTATAACAAAAAGTTTTTCCCACTTTGTAAGAGAAACCAGAATGCAACTAGTGCTGAAAAATGAGTTTTGTCTCATTTTAAGTGAACTAAATCCAAAATACTTGGTGAAACTTTGAGTTTTTGCAGTGGAAACAAATTCATGAGTCAGTTTCTCACTTTGTTTTTATTCTTTTCCAGTTACGCAACATGAGATTAAAGACACGCCCTGAACCAGAAGGCAGAAACTGGGACCAGGCAGGTACATCACACACACACACACACACACACACGCACGCACACACACACACACATGCACGCACGCACACACACACGCACAAACACGCACACACACACACACACACACAGCAGCTGGATGGTGATTTCTGACGAGACAGAATCTCTTCCTTCTCGCTGTGATGAATGAGAATCAGAAACATCACCAGCATGGATCCTCTTTCTGTCTTCATCATCCTCTTCCTCCCCGTTTCCTCTGCAGACTGAGTGGAGAAATGTCGAATCAGGATTTTAAAATAACGCCTTGTAAGATGACCTTTGACCTTACAATCACAAAACTGATTGTATTTTGCTCCATTTGTTGTCTTGTAGTGAAAGCATCCCCACGGCATGATGCTGCCATCGCCGGTCATTACAATGACTTAGACTTAGAGACTTAGACTTGACTTTATTGATCCCTTGGGAAGACTCCCTCAGGAAATTATAGTTACCAGCAGCTCAGAGGCAAAAATGTGGCACACAGTAAGCACACAAAAGAATACAAAAAAATACAAATTAAATACAAAACAAAGAATATAAATACAACACAAAAGGAAATTATAGCAATTTGGTGGATAGATTGACCAGTGATATGGTATCACTGGTCAATCTATCTATCACAGAGTTAGATTTCACACACATTGTGACCAGAAAGGAAGTTTTTCTGTTTCGTTGGTTTGAAAAGGATTAATATTGAAGAGGATCAGAGCAACTGTTGACTCTTCCCCCCAAATTCTGACTTTAATCTTTGAATTTTGACTCAGAATTTTGATTTCAATCTTCTGAGATCAAAAGTCAGTTCTGAGAAACAAACCTCAGGATTCATTCATTAAAGTCAGATGATTTTTTTTAGTGTCCCTAATCCTCTTGCATAGATTAAACACACATTTTAATCTGCCACATTTTTAATTCTAGCACATAAAATCCTAATAAAACACACTGAACCTCGTGTTGGTTATTTGACAAAAGTTCAAAGGTTATGGAGCCACTGTAAACGTCCAGGCCAGGAGGAATGTGTCGACTTGCTGTCAACTATTCGCTGCTTTGTCATGAGACCACAGAGCGCTAAAACACGTAAAGTTGTCTGTTTCACACCTCGTGGCCCCCGCCCTCCTTCCTCTGGCCCCAGCAGCAGCCGGGCCAGCGGTCCTGCAGCTGTGACCAGAACAATAGCATTCCTCGGGTTTTAAACGCCTGGCACTTAGATTCCTAACAGCAGATTCCTGCCGGGGGAAGCCGGGGGTTGCTACGGGACGCCTTGTGAGGAGACGTACGGCTGTAAAGCGCTCTGTGATTCGGCCTTTTTATGAGTGGCCTGGGTGGGATTCCTGCTCATGTTCTTTATTTCTCAAATGTGGCATTTTCAGCAGTTTATTTTTAAGAGGCGCCCTGCTGCTCCGCCGTGCGTTGATGGAGGCACCTGTTAGGTCAACATGAGTCTGATGATCTGCTTGTTAGCAGCAAACTGCACCGATGTGCTGGAAACGACACATTAGGCGTAAACAGAAGAAACAAACGAGGCTCGCGTTTATGGACTCACCTTCATTCTGACAGAAAGGACAAAAACAGTCAGCCAGTTTTTTGGTGTTTAGAAAACTTTCCAAATGTAACGGCACAAATTAGTAGGCAGGGTTACCTAGCAACCGCAAGCTGTTACCAAGCAACTCCAGCAGAGCTCAAGCTGCTTTGTCCTGTACAATGGCTGCTGGAAAAGACAAGTTTTGTTGTTGATTTTAATCTGAGAATTCTGACTTTAATCTAGTAATTTTGACTTTTTCTTCTCTGATGTCTCCCTGGTTTTACCGCCGTGTGTGCTGTACAATGGCTGCTGGAAAAGTTTTGCTGTTAACTTACCATCCAGAAACCGCTTGATGATACCTGGCTGGTTGTGCAGGAGGCTCCTCTTCTGCTTTTCAAAGATCTATGTTTGTATAATTACTCATCTGTTTGCAGCCATTTTCCCGTGCGAGTTTTAGCGATGAGTTGTAGCTGCTATATTTCGACTTTATTCTTGTAGCATTTTTATTTCCTCATGTACTCAGTCATAGAAATCTCAATACAAAAGATGTTTAATATAGTTCATAAACATATCCTAACCCGATTAAGGATGTTTTAGTATGCCACCTTTAATTATTATTTGGTGCGCGTGTGTCGCCTTCATTCTGCTACGTTAGCATCTTTAAAAACCTAAAACGCAGAAAGCAGAAGTCGAAGCTGCAGGCCTCGCTGCATGTCAGGCTTCTCTGGTGGTTTAAGTTCACACAGCCAAACTATCAGCATATCTGAAATAACCCCCAAAAATAACGATTCTCTCATTAACCACGCCTGTTTCACAATTTAAATATAAATGAATCTAATTTAGAAAACCTCGGGTGCGATGAAGGAGACTCATTTAGAGCCAATCTAAAATTAATGAGGGCATCTGGAGAGAGGGGCAGAGTGGCGAGGGGCCCTGTGTGGCTTAACAGATACCAGAGTTAACAAGCTACTGTACTTTAAACACTGGAAAATCCCCATTCATTTTGAATTAGCGCAGAATTTTAAAGGGTGAAAAAGAGCTTTAAAGTTAGCGCTAACATGCTGCAGAGACATTTCTGATGCCACTTCTAGCCTCTTGCAGCTAAGCTCTATTTAAGTTGCTGTAGAACATTTCTTTCTCTGTCTGGGACTTAAAGGTTAATGACAATATTCTGTGGTACAAAAATAAAACTAATTTATTGCTTGTTTTTAAGGTCACACCAATTATTGTCACACAAAAGTTTGACCATTTAATCATATTTTCTCATTTGTTGATCAAAGTGTGGAGAAAATTGTAAAAAGTAACAATCCTGACAATACGGACAGTTTTAGTTTTTTTAACATCATTAATTGGAATTTACTGCAAAAACGATAAATCAAAAATCTTATCATGATACATAATAAACAATACAATAAATACAAAAACACAAAATCTCACCAAGTAATTTTAGTTTCTATAAAATAAGACAAAACTAAATTACAAGTAACTTTTCAGTAAGATGCAGGAGGTTGTTTTAAGTAAATAATTCATTAATATTTAAGGAAAAATACCAGTTTCTACTGGCAGATCATTCCACTTACAAACTGGGAAAAATGTGAAGTAATCCACCAATGAAACTGGAACTTTTTAATCAACATTAATGCATTTTTTATTTGAAACAAACTCCTGAAAAGTTACTTGTAAGTCAGTTTTATACGTATTAAAAAACGAACCCAATAATATTTGGTAATATTTTGTGTTTTTGCCTTTTATTTTATGGTTTTTAAGTGAAAATGTTTCTCTGAGGATCAGAGTCTGAATGTTCAGATGCAGATTCTGTATTTTCTCTTCTTCTATGGTTTCCTCTCCTCCAGCTGCCTCTTGCAGACGCCAGCCGGCTCCCACAGCGATTGTTTGGTTTTGCGGGTTTAATTCCCGATGGGTTCGGGTCCGGAGTGATTAGGCTGAGCCCTAAAGGCCAGCAGGCTTGTCAGGTGTCTCCACACATTAACGTCGCTCTGCTCACAGCCTGAGCCGACAGCCTGAGCCGACAGCGCGGCCGGCAGAGGGGCGACGGGAAGCGGCGACGCCTCGTTTGGCTGCGTTGCTCAGCTACTGGATCTGATTTACAGACATTGAGCTTTAGAGAACCAGGAGGTTTGATTAGCTTTACACTAAATCTTACCAAGTAAATTTGGTCTACTTTCTAGTTCAAATATCTTAGTACACTTGAAATAAGACAAAACTAACTGACAAGTAACTTTTGAGCAAGATGTAGGAACTTTCTTTAAGGAAAGAATTCCCTAATATTGATGGAAAAGTTGGCAGATTGTTTAATTTATAACAGGAAGTTAGAAGTGAAATAATCTGCCAGTGGAACAAAAACTTTTCATCATTTTTAAAGTTTTACTTTGGATAACAAGACGTAGAAAACATTTCCAAATGTTTTCATGTGTCTTTCTTATTTGGAGTCATTTAGTTACTACATTCTGGAGACATTGTCAAATAAATACAGCTAGTTTTTCATAGTATAAGGGAATTAAGAATGATATTTTAATAAAGATCACTGCAAAAACTCAAAGTTTTGCAAAGTAAATTTGGTCTGATTTTTAATCTTAGTGCACTTTAAATAAGACAAAACAAACTAACGGATGAGAAACTTGTTTTAAGGCAAGTCATTCTTGAATATTGATGAAAAAGGTCTGGTTTTAGTAATTAAGGGATTGATTTAAAACAATCTGTTATCATAAGATTTGCATTAAAAACCAGACCAAGATGACTTGGTAAGGTTTTGTGTTTTTGCAGTGCATGGCTGATTTACAGGTGTAATCTCTACACTTTTCCTGATGACTCTTTAGTTCCTAAAAGGCGAGACTCAGGCGGATGCTGCCTCGACATTTTCGTTAGCCTTTAACCCTTAAACCAGCTGAGTGTCAACACGGCTGACTTTTCCCTGCTGGATTCAAACAAACTGGCTTTGTGTCGACGCACAAACAACTTCCTGCATGCAGACATCCAACTTGTTAGTGGGGAGGCAACTCCTCACCCCCCCTCAATCCGACCCCAGAAAAGAAAAACTCTTCCTGCTTGTGACCTCCAACCTCCTCCTACCCCACCCACAGCCTGCACTTACCCAGCATGGTGCAGCTATAGGAGGGGCATTAGGGTGCAGTGTGTGTGCCTCCGCAGAGGTGATGTTAGGTTTTAAAGATGGGGGTGCATCTTGTTTTGAAGACATGGAGAAATAAAATGTAGGAGGCGCAGTGGAGGGGGGGTGAGGAGACCTGCTGAGATGGCAGCCTATATGCCTCCCCCTCCTCCTTCCTGCTGCACCTCTGCCTCCATCCCGCTCCGCCTGGCCTCCGTCTCCCCTGCTGCTCCGTCTCCAGCCGTGGGGCTAAAGTACATTACATGCTTGCTAATCAAACCTGCATTACAAGTTTGGAGGGAATAAAGCAAGAATCTGAAGAGTTGTTCCTTCTCCTCTC